CCCATCTGCAAAATGCCAAACACAAAGGTTTATGTAAAGTGTTCATTGCACAAGTGGTATTATATCTTCATTCAAATATGTTGGCTCTCTGAACTTCCTTTTCATTATAGAGCCACAGCTGAAAACTCATACAATGTTCTGAACAGAATCCAAATGGCTCCAATGGCAAATATGCCCAAGATAGCTTCCTCATCACAATCTCACATTGTTGAATCCAAACTGTAATGGAAAGATCACATGCTGGAAAACTCTGAATCTGTTTCCAAAGATGCAGAAGACCATCCAGCTAAAGCTAGGCACTTTCTAAGTCCCACTAAAGCAACTGCAGAACTATCCAGTCAAAACCACTGTGGAAAGTATGGTACCCCCCTATTACAGATTAGCTAGGGTGAGATACATTTGATTCAGGTATTTTTAATATAATAATACTTAACATTTCAAGTGTCCAAAGTGGTTTGCATGTATTACCTAGCTGTAATCCTTACAAAATGTTAAGTTAGTAACCCTGTAAAGTAAATGAGTATTGTTATACAGATGGGGTAACAGAGGCAGAGAGAGAGAGCAGCTTGCCTAAAGACACCTAGTTGTTTCAAGGTGCCATCCAGCCACCTTAGGGACTCCACTCTGGATTTGTGTAAGGTTTATTCCTTCACCTTTTCTTCTCCTGAAGATGTCCCACAAGGCAGCGGGTATGGATTTTTCCTTGGGGCTTACAGTTGGTATCTCGGGTTACAAACACCTCGGGTTACGGACTCTGGGAACCCGGAAGTAGTACCTCAGGTTAAAAACTTTACCTCAGGATGAGAACAGAAATTGCGCAGTGGCAGCAGGAGGCCCCATTAGCTAAAGTGGTACCTCAGGTTAAGAACGGTTTCATGTTAAGTTTGTAACCAGAGGTACCACTATACTTTCAAAGCCTTTATCACGAATGCATATAGCCACAAGGCAGCAAAGGTCTAGGATCAGTTTTCCTTATCCTAGATGGGCTACCTTCCCATGTTGACAAGCCCCATCTGCCCCTCACCTCCTTCTGCAGCACAGAGTTGTGTACAGAAATAATCTTCTTGACTGTTGTACTCACTATTGGTCTTGCCTGCTCAATCTGTCTTCATATGCAGGGTAACTAACTCATGAGGGTTTGAGACCCATTGGCTACCCTCACCAGGTTTGCTGGCCAGTCAAAGCTGTTCCCAGGCTGCGGCCACAATCACATGCTGACAGCTTCTAGGAGCCACAGGTGAGAGCTGAGTGCAGGTTGAGGACCAAAGATGAGCAAACTAACTCAGTAGGAGCATGATGTGTATCTCACCAGAGGTACTACCTCTCCCCTAACACCTCATACCCTGCAAATCCCATTAAAACAATGCAGCAATTAAAACTGGGAGCGATCAAGGGAATGCCTTTGTCTTCAAGAATCCCAGAACAGAATCCCAACCCAGATGTGTCACCTGAAGCTGTAACTATCATAGAATGGAGGCAGGAGCATTTGATCAAACAACACGCATCCAATTCTTCGGCAACTGAAAAGGCTGCTTATTTGTTTCCAAGGACCATCAAACACTTATCTCTAAAGCTGTAAAACACAGCCTGGGCAATTGGGGGGGGGGGTGTTTTTGACGGTCAAAGAGCAAATTCCCACCCCACACTGAACTGAAGCAGTGTAGCAGGTTGCTTAGATTGCTAAAGGTGCTTGAAACTCAGCAGAGTTCTCCCTCCCACCCCTCTGGCTGAATATAGCTCCCAGTGTTGACTGCTGTAACCAATAACAAATATCCCTTGTTGTTTTCCAGGCCCAGGTTTTTTAAAGTCAGGCATTTGAGCAGGGCCAGCTAAGCAGCTAGCAACACCAAGTGCCTACAAGCACATTGGTTAATGCCTCGACCCCTGTCCCCCCCCCATCCCGAGGGAGGCCTGTCACTCAGTCTGCGGCAGGTGCTCCAAGGCACCAGAATCTAGGCCAAGGCTGGCCAGAGAACAAAGTAAACCTGTCAGGAGCCATGATATAAATTGCCCCCCTGGGAAGTTTTAATACTAGATTCTAGCATAGATGGCCTACGCTGAGCTTAATCGCAGAGGAAAATATTTTTATATAAAAGGAATGGTGTTGGCAGCTGGCACAAGTCCTTTCTCACTTGGGCAGAGAGAGATTGGCCAGTCCACTAGTCTCATGGGGTGAAATTTGCAGTTGCACAGGGAAGGGACAAGGCCCACGCTGGCTTATGGAGCAAAAGGAAGGCCATGTTGACTTCTGGGTCTAATATCAAATAGGCTTTGCTGTTTGGCATCAACCAGTTATCCAGGGTGGAAGTCCAAGGTGCAACTAGTTGGAAAATATGTATTGCCTGAGTGGAGAAACCCTCTTTATCTCGACAGCCGCATTGCCTTCTAGGACGACCTTCCAGAAAACATATGGCAGTGGTGGGCAGAGCACCTTCAAGTGTCTCGATTTCCCCAGGACAGCCCGGAATTACAGAAGACTTCCTGATTTGATCCTAAAATGTCCTGTTTCCTCCCTCCAGCACCACCACCAAACCCTTGCAGTGGTGCTGCGCTCTTGCACGAGTCAGCTAGCTCCTGTGAGAGCACAGCACCAAAAGATGTGCATCTTGATTTTCATCAGATAAATGCTGGAGGGTATGCAAATGAAAATTTTGCCTTCATACAGTCTTGCTGGACCAGGCCAATGGCCCATCCAGTCCAGCACCCTGTTCTCACACTGGGTGACCAGATGTCTTTGGGAAGCCTGAAGGCTGCCACTTACTTCCATGTCTCTGCCTAGCTTCCAAGCAGGCAAGCAAGGACAAAAGAAGGATGCCTGTCCAGGCAAAAGAAGGATGAAAAGGCAATGAGGGGGTGTCAGCGGGAGAGAAAAGGTGTGGCTGAGGATGATGTGTAGCCTGAAGAGAATTGTGAGGGCGAAACTGAGAGGCCTGGAGGCCTGCTTTTGGCGCCAGGGGCCTGAGGTTCCCAACCCTGCTCTCCATGAAGGGCTGTCCAGGCCAAGCCTGGCTGAAAGATGAAGAGCCATCACAAGGGAGAGCAGGAGCTTGAACACTGCCTAGCTCACAGCTTTTCCCACTATGGATCCTGAAAACTACAGGCCAGATAGCTTAATCTCTGTTCAGGGTAAATCGGCGGAAAGCATCATCAAATATAAAATTGCCAAGGATATAGAAGAACAAGTCTTGCTGCAGTGGAACTAGCATGGCTTCTGCAAGGGCAAGTCCTGTCTCACCAACCTATTCTTGAGAAGGTCAAGAAGCATATTCTCGGTACCATAGTTTAGCTATGCACTGTGTGAAGAAGTCATTTCTTTGATCTGTACTGCATCATCCAACATTCAGCTTCATTGTTCATAAGTTCTGGTGTTATGAGAGGAGAGAGACTCTCCTCCACCTGCTTTCTCCATGCCAAGCATACTTTTATGAACTTCTACTATGTCACCTCTTCCTCATCTTTTCTCTAAACTAAGAAAGTCCCCAAAGCTGCGACCATTCTGCATAGGGGAGTTGCTCCATGTCGTTCATGCCGTTGATCATTTGGGTTGTCCTTTTCTGAACCTTGGCTTAGCTGCTGCCCCTCTCTGAGCTAAGAGCAAAGCAGGGAAGTCATGTGGTGCCATTAAGGCATACTTTGGCTTATTGGGCCACGTGAATGAGACCGAGTGAAACAGAAACCAATTGGTGGCAGCACACTGCTCAGACTGAAGAGAAAATAGACTACCACCTGGACCTTAACAAAAGCAGCTTCCCCTTTCTCCTGGAGCAATGCAGTCTCTTTAAAGTGCAGCGCAAATACAAAGGCAAAAGGAGAATGGGAGGACAGGCTGAGGAAAACTTTGCAGGAGAGAGTCGCCACCAAGAAATCGAGCAGATTCCGCAATGTCTGAACAGAAGCAAATGGATTGGCCCGAGAGCCAGAGTGTAGCTCATGACAACACCTTCGCAAACATCTCAAACATTTGTTTCTCTCGTTGTAGCCTCACATGGCCCCAGCTAAGCACCAACACACACACAAGGTCTCTATTATTTAAGCAGAGCCATATGAGGGAATATTGGAACAACTGTGGGCTGGAGCCCAACCCTGGAATGAGAATGAAAAATGGCTTTGGAGCAGAGACGGAGACAGTGAGGAACGCAGGGCAGACTGGCAGGACTATCAGGCTGAGTTTTCAGGAGCTTTAAAATAAAATTTAAAAGACAGTGTGACCTCTGGGAGATGATTTTCTGCCAGAGCTAGTGGGGAAATTGTGAAAGCACATAGGCATGGGCATAGCCGGGGGGTTGGGACAGGAAGGGGCAGCTAAATGAAGAAAAATCAATAAAAATACATAGCTAACTGAGGTTCTGCCCCCCACTGAAAAAAGGCCTGCTCTTCCAACAAAAATCCTGGCTTTGCCCATGCACCCATGTAGGATGGGATCACAGTTACCTGTAGTTTAAAATCTATTTTTTCAACAACAAAAAGACAATTGTGTACCCTCTAGTACTTCACAGATGCTTGTAACCTGCCCAGCCCCTCATAGAAGCAATACTGTGGCCACATTTGCACCATACATTGAAAGCACTATGATGTCACTTTAACCAGTCCCCCAAAGAATCCTGGGAGCTGTAGTTTGTTAAGGGTGCTGAAAGCTAATAGGAGACTCCCTATTCCCCTCAGAGAGTTACCATTCCCAGAATTCCCCGGGAAGAGGGATTGATTGTTGTACTACTCAGGATAATTGTAGCTCTGTGTGGAGAAGAGGGGATCTCCGAACTATTCTCAGCATCCTTAACAAACTACAGTTCCCAGAGTTCTTTATGCTGATTTCCCTCTATCTCTTTGATGTTTAGAATGGTAACTCTTAGGTTGCATCCAGTTTACAATCCACTTCACATTCTTTCTCTGGGTGTCAAGGCAAGAGGTCATCTTGGATCTCTCTTTTGCAAACAAAGGGGCAAGCATAGCCTCTTTGTTTCACCAATTAGATTACTGGCTAGGACTATATAGACAGAAGGCCTGGGATAGCACAGTCGGTAGAGTATGAGACCCTTAATCTCAGGGTCGTGGGTTCAAACCTCACGTTGGGGGGGGGATTCTTGCATTGCAGGGGGTTGTACTTTGATTACCCTTCTGGTCCCTTTCAACTCTATGATACTAAGAATGGACTTCCTGTAATAAACACAAGCTTTCTCATTTTACACCAAGTCTCTGTCTGAATACCTTTCAGCTAAAGGTGTCCTCCAAGCAAGGATTCACCTCACTAAAGGTAACTTCTTCTGGTGCACATAATAATCTCTATATGCTAACATACTCACCACCCTCTTGCAATGAGTGAGTGTACCCAAAGTGCCTGACATATACTGGCTTTTGTGGATGGTTGAAGCACATTGCATACTTAGGGGAATCAGACAAGATCTGGCTTTTTCAAAAACTCAACAGTATGGAATGCATTTGTATTATTTTTTTTGTTCTCTGTTAACATGTGCTTCCAATTTTCATTTCCAAGTGCACTTATGGAATATTTTGTTGTTCACAAATAATCATGTGACCTATTACTTTCTGCACGTTATGTCCAAACACATGTTCAACAAAGAGAGGAACAATGATTGGTAATGTTTCTCCCCCCCCCCCCAACATCCAGATAAATAACAGCAAACAGCAACAAGCCATTATGCTGCCATTTGGTCTATATTCAAGCGGATGGAAACAATAAACTAGATCATTGAACCGGATTCATTTTTGCCAATGAGAGCTTCTTGGGATCAAGCCAGACTGGGAGTCATGCTTTCTCCTTGGGACTAATCCCAGGCTAGGACTAGGCTAGTGAAGAGATGCTTTATTTGGTGTCCATGCATTGGGCAGGACCACACATGGCTGACCTTCCTCTGCCCTCTAGACCACCTCATTCCCATTCCCAATCTTATCCCATCCTTCTTTAAACTGTTCTTTCTCTCTCCCCATCCTCTTTTTAAAATTTCCAATGAGCTAAATGTTTACTTGCCTTATCAGCATTGGCTTTTAGCAGCTCAGGGGATTGGGGAGGCCTGAGTGAGAAAAAATTCATACTTCTCAGTCCATTTTAAAATAGATGTCCAAAAAAGGACCGCTGGGCTCTTTGAAGCATCCAGTGTCACTGATAGGTTGCCCCTTGAACGTTTTGAATAGAAAACTCCCAGCCTGGGTGGGAAACAATCTATGCAACCCCAAGCCTCATTTTGCATGGCCCTTGGTGGCATCTGAAGCTGCCCTGTTCCTTCATTCCATGAGAATTCTCTCTTTCTCCTTCATTTTCTCCTTATTTTTTACTGGCTTTTAAAAGTGTTTCCCCCATTTTTGGAACGGAACGCATTTTATTTTATAAAAATAAGTGTTTTTTTTAAACCCCCCTCCCCCGGTTTTATGGCTTGAAGTTGGTAAGCTTTTGTCCTATCTATCTATCTATCTATCTATCTATCTATCTGTCTATCACTTTCTCTTGACTCTATTTTGATTCTGTTACTATATGTACCAATTAATTCCCCTGGGTCCAATAGCTTTCTTGTCCTTCTGTGGCTATGCCTTGTGGAAATCCAATCTTTCCCACTGAACTGAAACTTGGTTAAGCAAAAACTCTCATTAAGCAAAATCTCTTCCACACATCTGATAAGATCCAATTTGGTGGGTAAGATCGGATTTTTGCAAGGCACAGCCACAGAACCAAAGGAAAAGCTTTTGGATCTGGGGGAATTAATAAGTACACAATATGATCAAGAAAACAGGAAGAATTTTATCAGTTCATACCAGTGCTATTTTTCTAGAAAAAGAGGAGCCGGAACTCACCACGAACGCCTCTCTTGTTCTTTTATAATGGCAATGGCCCCCACCTGAGAGGTGCCAGAACTGAGTTCCGAAAAGTTCTGCTGTTTGGGTAGACGAGGTGTGAGGTAGGCCTCCTTAAGGAGCTGGGATGAAGTGCTAGAATTACCATACTGCTAGGCTTCCATTCCTTTGGGTTTTCTATACCACTTTGCTTCTATGTATTCTCATCAATATCTGTTACTTATCTTGTACCTCTAAGTATGTTATATACTAAGTTGCAGTCTTGTGTATGGTACTCATAAACCACTACAGTCAAATTATAATAGGTGGGTTTTGCAGATATTCTTTCAGCTGATAAGAGCTGGGGAGGAGGGACACCCTGGTTTGAGGGTGAATACATGTGTGCGGTTCGTACCAATCTGGTGTTACTATTAGCTCCGGCAAACATCGGCAGAGAGAAGAAAATGTAAATCTCTTTAAGTAATTTTTAATGAAAAAAAATATCGAGTTACTCCGAGTGCTATCATTTCTGGGTGGCTGGTTTTTAACTTTGGCAACCAGTACTTAAAGGGAAATTTTACAGCCTTAATGCTCTCCAGATGTGCACCTAGTCCTAGATGAAAGTTTTAGCATTGGTTACTGGGCATATATGTCAGCGATGGACTTTGCAATACCCCATTGGATACACAATTGTTGTAAGTCCCAGGAGAGATCTTTCAGGGGGCAGAAACAACAAGCCCTTAAAGCAAAGGTCATTCATTGGGTATTCTGTCTCATGTCATTTATTTAATAATCATTACAGGGCATGAGCATTTTTTTTTTTTTAGCATGTAGGAATTGACTTCAAGATACATGGGCAACAACAACAAGAAGAAGAAGAGTTTGGATTTGATATCCTGCCTTTCACTCCCCTTCAGGAGTCTCAAAGCGGCTAACATTCTCCTTTCCCTTTCTCCCCCACAACAAACACTCTGTGAGGTGAGTGGGGCTGAGAGACTTCAAAGAAGTGTGACTGGCCCAAGGTCACCCAGCAGCTGCATGTGGAGGAGCGGAGACATGAACCCGGTTCCCCAGGGAACTACCCACTCTTTACGAGACTACCACTCTTAACCACTACACCACACAGAGCTTCTCCTCAATGGAGACTGCTTGCTAACAGCAAATTTAGATTCTTCCCCCACATGACGACTTCTTTTTGTTTTGTTTTAAATGCTGCTATTGCTCCCTGGGGAATGACGGGACATATAGCAACTTTTACATGGCCAGTGAACAATTAGTTGGCTCAGAAAACAAACTGGGACAAATGTAGACAGGTAAAAAGAATGAAGTCTTGTTGAGATACCCAAAGCAAATGCAGCAGTCTTGGCCATAAGACTTATTGAGATGTTGCCATCAATGGTCAGGATACTTAAAAGAAACTAAGCTGGGTTAACTTTAAAGGTTCACTGTAAATGCAGGTCATCACCTTTGAAAATAAGAGATATCCATGCTAATGGTCTTTTTTTTATTTTTAAAGACTTGTTATGATTTCTATTACACCCAAAGTCTGGAATGTATTAGTGGACTCTGAGCTGAACCGCTGGGCTGATGCTGGGTCTGCTCAGTTGTCTTAGTCAATCCTTTTTCTCTCAGCCTCAGCTTCCTTTGGGCAGGATACAGACAACAACAGTGACCTTCCTTACAGGGCAATTGTATGGCAAAATAAGATACTGTATGTGAAGCACTTTGGATATCTGAAATGCCAAACTTTTATAGGCCAGTACCCAAAATGCCAAACTTTTATAGGCCAAGTTGCTGCTAGAATCAGAGAATTGGTGTCAATTTTGATCCATTGCTGACATAGAATCATAGAACGGCAGAGTTGGAAGGGATCCAGAGGATCATCTAGTCCAACCCCTGCATTGCAGGGATCCTGTATTGCAGGAGGTTAGACTACATGTTAGCTGCTGCATTATTTTTGTTATTTACATTTATTCATTGCTCCACATAAGAAAATGTCCTGAAGTGACTTAAAGCTATAAAATACAAAAACAACTTGTCATTATTTTCTTTTAATACAAATACACCCACCAGTAATTTAACTAGTGGAGCCTGTTCCATTCAGACAAGTGGAATATCACCCCACCAACCTTCAGTCCTGCCCTCAGTCAGCCCCCATCTACCTGACTTCAGACCAGGGGGTGGCTCTGCATGTCAGCTTCCTCCTCTTCCTCCTGGTCAAGTCTCTGTGCTACCTTTGTAGGATTCAGCAGGAAGGAGGGCAGAAGGAGTACCAGAACTACCAGAAATAGTTGGATTCACCTGTTACTGGCTCTGCCTGCTATTGGCTCTGGCTACAAGTCTGCATCCTTGCCTTCTGCCCAACTGACCCCAATGGGCATCCACCTCTACTGAGTTTAACACCAACAAACTGATGGTTAAGCCTAACCCCTGATAGCACAGAGAGGCAGCCAGCAGATGCTCTAGCTGTAAATGAGAGGGAAGCTGCCAGTGTGAATCCTTTGATCTGGATACTTTTGTAAAGTCTTAAAATGCTCTTGGGGGCATATCAAAGAATCAGAGTTGGAAGAGACCCTGAGAGTCATCTAGTCCAAACCCCTGCAATACAGGAATCCTGCAAACAGCCATCCCTGGATGGGCTCGAACCACCAACTTTCTGGTTAAGAGCTAGGCGCATTGACCCATTGTGCCACTGGGGGATCCTTGGTACCTCTTCTTTTTTCCAGCACCTTGATGGTAAAGCACTTCCAAAGATTTATAGCCTAGTAATAAAAATTGGCCTGCATTGAAGTAAGCAGTGAGTAGGACAGTTTTTAAAGTGTTAAGTGAGAAGCCAACAGCACAATAACGTTGCTTACCTCTAAAACCCTGTGTCGCTGTACTTAGTAAAAACAACCCTGCTGCAGTATTAAGGAAATGAAACATCGCTGTCCACAAGCTGCCTTCATTCAACTAAGTACTTCAGTCATTTTCCTCCCTGCTCTTTTAAAAATTACAATTTATATTGGCATCTGATATGTTTTCCTATGTTATTTCCATCCAAAGCTTGGACTGAATTATACATGATGGTAAATGTTTAGATTTGGGGTGGAGTGAAATGAGGTTTAACTTATTGGGTCTTCCATTTATAAGCCTGTTGGCAATGCACTGATTCGACTGAACACAGAATGTAATTTGACCTAAACACTCAATTCTTATGTTTCTGATTCAGATGCCAACTCAAACCCTACAGCTATTTTCAAACCAGAGAGCAACATGAATGATTTAACAAAACGCAGCATCTCCCCTGGAGACTGAAACACCAGAATGAAAATTGGTACACATATTCACAGCACAATTCTATGTTCTGAGTATGAATTTAGATGCTGAGCAGGAAGCTGCCTTCAGTCCATAACATCCAGTACAGTGGTACCTCGGGTTACATATGCTTCAGGTTACAGACGCTTCAGGTTACAGACTCTGCTAACCCAGAAATAGTACCTCGGGTTAAGAACTTTGCTTCAGGATGAGAACAGAAATTGCACACAGCAGCAGGAGGCCCCATTAGCCAAAGTGGTACCTCAGGTTAAGAACAGTTTCAGGTTAAGAACGGACCTCCAGAACGAACTAAGTTCTTAACCCGAGGTACCACTGTATTGAACATCTACTTCAGCTGGAAGCAGCTCTGTGACTGAGCTCATTCACATCATCTGCTACTAACCTAACCCTTTTAACTGAAGAGATGAGGGACTGAATCCTGTGTGGGGTGGGTGGATGTATGTATGGAGGAACAACAGCAAGATCACACATTCTGGTCACACCTTGACTTCCATGTGCCCATGTGGCCCTTTGCATGGAACCCACATGTACAAGGTATCCATTAGTAGATTCTATGGGAAAGAGGAGCCAGGGCCAAGAAGCTACACATCCACAGGTACCACCAGGGCAGCAGACACTGAGTTAGCAGACAGATCTCCTGCCCTGGTCTTCTACATTCGGGTGAGATGGATTATGCGGTGTATTTGTCAGTTTCAGTTACAGGAATTATGTAAATACGTGAATCTATAATTAAAATTAGCATATGCAAATGTCATGCAAACCCATGTCTTCTGTTTTTTGCTGGTGTATAAAAAGGACCCCATCCCTTGGTCCCTGCTTGGGTTGGGGACTCTGGGTTACAGTAATATAATTGGAGAAGGAACTAAGCAATCTCCAGTGCAAGACTAATTTCCTCTGAAACTGAGTAATAAGGTGAGATAGTGACTTTCATGTGACTGCTTTTGTACATAATTACAGTACTAAAAAGATATGCCTCGGTCAAGTTCCACAACTGTTTTTCTGAGTTGTGCGCTCATTTTACTAAGATGCCGTATTAACTCTCGATACTTATGGTCTTATGTTTTCATCTATTCCTGATCCTTTTTGGATCCTCATAAGCTCATATGTTGATTAGTTTTCCTAGAAATTCCTTTCCTTTCCTTAAACAGAACTATAAACTCTACCTCCCTTAGTTTTAAATGCTTGCTAAACAGAAAACCATGTGAGGGTGTTTTTGAAAGATTTCCTGCTCTCCTAGCATTTTTTAAAAATGCCTCATCACAAGCAAAAATATTTGGCTCTGAAGTGAGACCTGAGGTCTAAGCACATACACTGTTTGGAAGTTCATGTATTGAGGGATCTTGGCTTTGAACGTCATTGTCTGATGGTGGGATCTAACCTAGAGGACTATCCAGAATTATGTGTGTCCAGGTCCCCAGAGCTTCTTTGAGCAGAGGAAGGAAAATATGACACTGATTTATGTAATTGGACCTTGGCATCCTGCAATTGCAACAGAGCCAACATTCTTTCTCCTGTGCTGCAGGTCTTGTTCTTCACATACATGCCCATCTATGGCCTAGGCCTTGACATGAGGTCAAGTCCCACCTCCCTTCTTACCGAGATTAATAATAATAATAATAATAATAATAATAATAATAATAATAATTTCTTATTTATGCCCCACCCATCTGGCTGGACTTCCCCAGCCACTCTGGGCGGCTTCCAACAAAATATTAAAATACCGTAATACATCAAACATTAAAAGCTTCCCTAAACAGAGCTGCCTTCAGAGGTCTTCTAAAAGTCAGGTAGTTGTTGTTCTCTTTGACATCTGGTGGGAGGGAGTTCCACAGGGCAGGCACCACTACCGAGAAGGCCCTGTGCCTGGTTCCCTGTAACTTCACTTCTTGAAGTAAGGGAACCGCCAGAAGGCCCTCGGCACTGGACCTCAGTGTCCGGGTAGAACGATGGGGGTGGAGACGCTCCTTCAGATATACTGGACCGAGGCTGTTTAGGGCTTTAAAGGTCAGCACCAACACATGATGAGAAGAGCTTGGATCCAGGCACTGTGCTTAGGGTATTGCTTCGGCTGTGCATGATTCAGCTATCAATTTCCCTGGACAAACTACATTTTCTAGTATCTCTTCCTAATAAAAATGCCTTTGGCAGAAGTAGAGTTGCAAGTTCATCTGATGGGGAGAGCCAGGACAGACAGGCCAGTGAGGAGGACTAGCAGGTTCATCCTCCCTTGCATGCCACTGCATCAGATGAGGGGCAGGGGAAATATTGTCCAAACTGACCATAATTAAATCTCAGGAGAACACTGCATGCAAACACATCCACACATGTGGACACAAAACGTTATCGCAGTGCTTCCCTTCCATAGTAAAGGATGCCAAGCGCATCTGAGGTGCAGCTAAGTACATCCAAATCCATTGTGAGATTAAATGTTCTTTGAAACATGTTAAGTGGTTTGCTGCTGCTATTTAGTTAAGGAAATTGGTTATGGTAGACTTAGCATACACCAGGCCTTTGAGCAATCACGAGGGGTTCCTTGATGTCAGAATCAGTCTGTTATAAGAACTCTGTTTTCACTTGTGAATTGTTGGAGGGTATGTTGCTGACTTAGCCAAGAGCTCTGCTTTGGTCGGAGGAGTTGAAACTTGCAGGTTTAGGATGAGATCTCCTGAGACCCTCTCTGCAAATTGCTGGAGCAGACCAGCCCATTTCTACATAGATGCAAGTGTCAGAAGTCCATTATTTTTAACAGCTTGTGTTACAATATAAAAGCTGATTTATTGTCAGAGCAGTTTCCCAACGTCTTAAAGGAAATCATCAGGGATTGCTTGTTTTTTTTTTGGTTACTGCTACATAAATAACCTCATGGGCGGATGGATATTTGTGTTCATTTACTTAAACATTACTATTTGTTATATTAAACTGTCTTAACACGCAGTCACGCAAAGAAGAGGGTGACTTGGTGTGTTGAGCAGCGCCTGCCCTGAAGGCACTGAACAATCTATAACATAACCAAAACACCAAAGAACAATCGAACCCCCAGTGCAATTATAGAGTTACTATCAAAATAGAACCAGCTTGAACACAGAAAGGGAGGAGTACCGGTATTTATAACAGTTTACATTTGCCCAGAATGGGATAGTAGTCTCTCCTGGATTCCATGTTTACGCAGAAAGGGAGGCTTTTGGACATCTTGTTCCTGGTGGGTGATTCCAAAGCTTATATCCTAATTAAAATTAATCAAAGCATTGTGACTTTATGGAAGCCCCTCAATAAGTAGATATACACTTCAGGGCATCACTTGCCTCAGTACAAATTTTGAATCCAGCCAAAAAAATGGTGGACTGGCTCAGTAGAGACGTATGAGATGAAGGTCTTGTAAAACTCTTGAAACCTTCCCTGCATCTTTCTAGTTGATGAAAAGTTACATTGATTAATCTTAACAATTCATCAATTAAAACACTGTAGTCATACTGGAAGAAAAGCAATGACAAACCTAGACAGCATCTTAAAAAGTAGAGACATCACCTTGCCAAAAAAGGTCTGTATAGTTAAAGCTCTGGTTTTCCCAGTAGTGATGTATGGAAGTGAGAGCTGGACCATAAAGAAGGCTGATCGCCAAAGAATTGATGCTTTTGAATTATGGTGCTGGAGGAGACTCTTGAGAGTCCCATGGGCTGCAAGAAGATCAAACCTATCCATTCTGAAGGAAATCAGCCCTGAGTGCTCACGGGAAGGACAGATCTTGAAGCTGAGGCTCCCATACTTTGGCCACCTCATGAGAAGAGAAGACTCCCTGGAAAAGACTCTGATGTTGGGAAGGATTGAGGGCACAAGGAGAAGGGGACGACAGAGGACGAGATGGTTGGACAGTGTTCTTACAGCTACCAGCATGAGTTTGACCAAACTGCGGGAGGCAGTGGAAGACAGGAATGCCTGGTGTGCTCTGGTCCATGGGGTCACGAAGAGTCGGACACGACATAACGACTAAACAACAAGTCATACTGCAAAGCCCATGATGCTGTGAGCTACCAAGCAAATCACATGTCCAAGAAGACTTAACGTATATGGAAACTTGAATTAGAGTGAATATTTCAAAGGAGAGCATCCCACAAGTTACTAGCCGAACCTTGATTTGGCCAACAGATTTTCTTTGGAAATCTGGTGCCAGCATGGAAATGGAGTGCCTCCAGGAGAAATTAACACATCCTTAGTCTGGAACTTTTAATCACTCCCAATGAATCCAATCTTTCGCTGATGGTAACAGGGCACAATCTGGGTGCTGACATTTAATGTTTGTCAACATCTCATTTTGTTGTCGTTGGCTGCCTAAGGCAGAAACCAGAGGACATTTGGAAGCAAGTGATGTGGAATTGCATTGCTGGT